GGGGAATAGTCAAAGACTGTTCCGACTGATACGCAACACGGAAAGTCGGCGAACTACAGTTAGTGAAACAGATTGTGATAAAAGGAGACAAACTATTCGCAATAGGGATCAACGATTTGATCGCTGGGCGGAATACTTCAGGGAACAGTTCAGCCGGCCTGGCGTTAGCGAAGTTACTTCATCTGCAACTGAAGCCCCGTGGGCGGTAACATGCGATCCTCAGAAGTATAAGTAGAAGTTCGGGCTTGCATTCAAGCTCCGAAGCGAGGAAAGACAGCAGGACAGGATGAGCTCCTTCCCACTCTTTTCGTCAAGGATGCACTCTTTCGTCATTCCTGTTTAATTTCGTAGATGAGATACTGTAGAATGCATTAAGTGGTCTCCAAAACGTAGGTATTGCATGGGTTGCTGAAGAAAAGTTGTGCGATTTGGTGTACGTCGATGACATTATCTGTCTGTTTGAGTGTTTGGAGGACGCGCAGGGTGCATTCGATAGACTAACAAGATCCGTTGCCACATTTGGTATGTGCTTTGCACCTTAAAAATGAAAAAGGATGACGCAGGACAGGGGTTTGACTGCTCGTGCTCTGAAACTAAATGGTCAGGAATAAACTGAAGTTGACTACTTCTGATACTTGGGTAGCTGTGTGACCAATGACAGTAGTGCAGCAAAGGAGATAGCCGCTCGCATTTTCAAGGCTCGAGCAACATACGCAAGACTGAAACACCTTTGGCTTAGACGCGACGTTTCACTGAAGTTGAAAGGTCGTGTACATTGTGCTAGCGTTCGCTCAGTCCTGNAATTTGCGAGTAAAAGATATCCATCGACTGTAAGTTTTCGATTGTTGGTGTTTACGTAGTTTAGCCCACGTGGGGTGGAGTGAACGGGTTAGTAATCTGGTGGTAAGTCGTCGTGTGTTCGGGAGTCTATCAGGGATAAACCTACTAGCACATCGAATTCAGATTAGTAGGCTACGCTGGCTAGGGCACGTATTGTGTATGACCAGTTGTCTGTCGCACCGTGCTTTGTTCGCTGTAGTCGCTACGAGATGGAGGAAACCACGTAGAGGTCAACAGATGACTTGCAGACAAAGAGGCTCACACTCCTTCCCTGGCTTCAAAATAGGTTTAATTTCTGTCCATCTTGCGTAATCCCACTAACGTTGTATGCACTGCTAGTGTGACGGCGATCAGTGAAGTTCGGTTTACTGTATTCCGCTGTATGCTGATTATGATGGGAATTTTGTCATTTTTTTTTTTTTAGCGTACAGTTAATATTGAGATGGACTGCGTTGAAATCACTTAAGAAACCGATTTTCGTCCGCATTTGTATCTACGACACATAGGACCTCGGGGAGATACCGTATGTATGACGAGATGCGCTGTCTAACTGAAAACCTAAATTGACTATTCGCAGGGCCATATTTGGAAAGCAAAAGTGTAATGGGCATAATTCACCGTTTTCAGTCTGATTGAACTCGGGCCTAACTCGGTATAGGGATCGTGCGTGCAAAAAATACCCCTCCAATGCATGATTGTGCGCAGTGCAAATAAAATCGAATAATAGATATGTTTTACATCGAGGAACTGGACAATACTTTCTATGACTATTTTTTCACGTAGTGTAGATACTCACACGAAATTAAGATAAAACAAAAACTACGAGGCTAAACAAAGACAGATAATATCAACTAACCATACTATTCGCCGCTTGAACGCAAGAACAACCGGGTCTGGTTAGTTTGGTCAGTTGACCCAGGATTGCCTTATCTGAGTGCGCATGATTGAAGAATCGTTTCAAATGCTCCACAGATTTCTCCGATTTTGGCAAGAGATCTTCGAAGTCGGAATGGTCGATTTGTGAGAGGGAACGGGAAGGGGGAAAAATTGAGGGTGATTAAATGACCTAACTCGGTGACGGTTGTTCAGTTTAGTTCAGTCTGTACAAACTTTAACCATGCACTTTCGTGCGGCGGTTTTAGCTGCTGTCGTTTGGTTGATCATTTGAATGAAGAGACTAAACTTAAATTGTCAAAAAAGCAGATAAAGAGCTGAATGCTCGGTCAAACATAAAATGTAACGATAATGACAGGTTTATCAACGTCTTACGGTAATTTATCAAACCATCAGGATTAAACAGCACCTTGACGTTCACGTCGAGTATTTGCTGCATCAGTTCGGCCAGTGCTGCTCTATGGTGCTGAGACTCGGCCACTACGGAAACAGGATAAAAATAAATTGTCGGTGCTCGAACACCGCTGTCTATGCAGCACTGCACCAGTCTGGTGGGGTAACCGGACAAGCAATGCGGAGGCAAGGGTAGAGTTTTAGGTAGTAACGGTAGTCCACAGGAGCAAGTAGCTGACCTTCATAGATTACGCTGGTTGGGACACGTGTTACGCATGTCACCAGATGGGTAACCAAGACGATCGATGTTTGCCGAGGTAGGAAAAAGATCAAAGGCGGTCAAACGAGAACCTGGCATGAGGGTATGAAGACCCCAACCAGGACACTGGGTCACACAGGTCCCGTTAGGCTCCCTGGCTGGGGACCCCGAGATCATGGTCACCGATGGATAGACACAGTGTGATATGGTTGGTTTTTTAAAATTTTTTAGTACACACGAAGTGATTTCCAGCAAAAGGAGTAAACCCCATAATCTGTAGACTGTAAGGGGGAGGTATGTGGGGGAAAATTCAAGTATGAACTAATCTGTTAATCCTGCTTTTGAAAAGGGTAAGGTTATAAGAGCCGGGAAAAACGGAAATGGGAAGTGTTCCACAATTTTGCATTACTCGGAAAAAAAGATTGAAAGATAGAAATCCGACATCTGGGGACAAAAACCTGATAAAGGCGACCGGTCGCCTGAGAACGAGATGGACGAGAGGTCGATGGAAGGGGAACCGCTGAAGCAAGTTCGGAAGAGCAGAGACAAAAATAGTAACGATAGAAAAGAGAAAAAGAAGCAACTGCCCGGCGATGGGAAAACGACTCCAAGGTGGAAGCACTACGATCGTGATCGATTTTGGTATTACCTTGACGGATTGCTGGGTAAGAAGGAGAACAATGGAGAATGACAACATCGGCAAAGCAGTGGATAGGATTAGATGTTTGGGATGAAAGACTGTTGATAAATAAGAGAAAGAGGGGGGCGAAAGTATGGAACCTTGGGGAACACCGGCCTTTTCAAGGAAATGGCAGAGATAGGACCCCATCTACTCGGGAGGGAGATGGTTCGCCTGCTGAAGAAACAACGAAGCCACGATACCAGAGACGGGTGGAATCCGAACGTGGGTAATTTCGACAGCAGACCTTCATGCCAAACGCGGCCGAAGGTCTTTGAGATGTCGAGCGAGACCATGTGTTTATCGACTGCAGTCGATCAGGAATGTGATGTGAGCGCCCGTAAGTCACCCGTAGATCGACGAGGGTGAAATCCATACCCAGGGTCATTTAACAAACCTTCGCGTTCGAGAAGCGTACGCAAATGTAAGAGTAATAGGACGGTAGTTGTTGGTGTCCGAAGGGTCGCCGCGCTTCGGGATTGGAAAAATAATGGCATTTTTCCATGAAGTAAGGAAAGATTTAAGTTCGAGTGGATAACAGAAAAGGTGGCGTAGAACACGGGCTAACTCCGGGGCACACATTTCTAGGACGACAGGTGGAATACCGTCCGGACCGGGAGGTTTACAAACATCCAAACCGCGAAGAGTTTGGCGGACCTTTCTGGTTGTTATGGTAGGTAGAAATGAATGACTGGATGTGTAGGAGGAGGGTTGAACAGAGGAGGCGGCAGATAAGGTGGAGTTGGAGGCAAACCGGTAAGCGAAGACCTTTGGTTTTTCCTGGGGATCACAAACAAGAGTATCAGAGGAATTGCAAATGGGGCCAAAGTTTGAAGGGCAGAAATTAAACGAAACCGCTTTAGCGAGGGACCAGAATGTTCGGTTATCCGTGGCGGAAGAAGCCAAGCGCGCAGCTTTTTGAAAAATGAGGCGTTCTTTAGCTCTCTGAATAGTGACCGATCATTTGTTTCGGGCTTGCATGAAGCAGTTGCAGGATGCTGGATTGGGTGAGTGGTGCCAACGACGGAATACTGAGTTTTTTAAACGTACAGCACGGTTGCAAGCATGATTAAAGCACTCAGGGGATCGTGATTTGTCGGGGTTGGAGAAGTGTGGAATATAAAAATACATGCCTTGAAGAACAATCTCCGTGAAGTTTGAAACAGCCTTGGAAACATCCGATTTAAAACAACAATTTTTGCAGGGATAACGAGCCAGAAAGTCACGAAAACCGTCCTAGTTGGCTGAATCGTAACGCCAAAGGTGTGTCTGGAGTTTGGTGATGAAATTGAATGAGAGAAATGCGTGAGAAAAGAAGACAATGGTTTGACGAGCCTAATGTGGAAAGGGAAGTGATGTTTGAGAAAGAAGAAGGAATGGATGTGAGAATGAGATGTGGGCGCAGCCACCAATACAATCAGGGATGCGTGTGGGGAGGTTAGCTAGTTAACTTAAGTTGTTGACCACAGCAAAAACCTCGGGTTCGCGTCCCATGAATGTAGTGTCTGAGGAGTGCTTCAGCCATTCCTTGTTATTGATACTGAAATCTCCGACAATGGTGATTTGGCTGTTAGAATCTGTCGAAATTAGTGTCTCAATGTTGGAAGATAGAATATCAAAAATAGAAGAATAACTGCTATTCAGGGAGCAATAAACAGTACAAAAATTGTAGTTGAAAGAAGAGAATGGAAGTTTCAGCCACATAAGCTGAAATTCACGGTTAGAGAAGCCTGTGTGAAAGTCGAGAAGAAGCGACAGAATGATGGATATAGGACCAGACATTAGCTTTAGAAAAAGAAGAAAGTAATTAGGGAAGTGAAGATGAGTAGTGTCTGACGAGGAAGAGATTTGTGTCCCCGTCAAAAACGAAGCCAAGGGGGGAGAAGATTGGAGAAAGTGGTGTACAGAATTACCGTTTCGATTTAAACTACGAATGTTAGTGAGGGCTATGGAGTATTGTGAGTTCGTGGGTAGAGTGCGCATTCTGTGATTTCTCTGATTTGTATTTTTCATTTGTGGTGTAAGAGAAGACCGACAACCCAACCCTGAGACTTGGAGTAGTAAACCACATAAGGCCTCAATAGGTTGAGTGTGGTAGTGAGCCAGGGTGTCGTGCATCTACTCATTATTCTTGTAACATCGGTCTATATAAATCCAATTGGGCGACCAAAAGACAGCAACCAAAACCGGCATACGAAAGTGCATGGTTAATTGTTGTAAAAACTGAACTGTAA